TTTCTGTCGTAGCGGTGGTGGTTCTTTGGTTGCTTGCTCCGTTGATCTGATTGTAGTGTCCTTTGAGGTCTTCTGTGCTTTAGTTGGTTGCATTACTTCTTCCGGAGTTGAACGTCGTAGTGTTTGTCGAGGTGGTGCTGGTAGTGGTGGGTGTTGTCGTCCGGTTGGTGAAGTAGCCATAGGACTATCCGGTAGTGGTCGTGAACTTGACGTCGATGTTGACGGAAGTCGTGGAGGTGGTGTAGTGCGTTGTTGTTTTGTTGCGGGTTCCGCAACGATGTCGTCCGTAGCGTTCGTTTGTTGTCCGAAATCTTGCGCGGACCTTCTTTCTCTGACGGTTGTAGTTGCGTATCCAACAGTGTTGCGAACGATGGGTTGTAGGTGTTCCGTCGTGGCGCCCATGATTTGCCGGAAACTTTGTTCAACAGTGCGAGGTCGTATTGGAGTCCGGTTGTAGTCTCCGTACTGTTCGTACCTTTTGTACACCTGATTCCGTTGCGACGTAGTTTTCTCCGGTTTCGGAAACTTTTCCGAGCCAGATGCATTTCTGCATCCGTAGGTCTGCTTTTGGAAGTTTCTTGTGTTGCGGTGGAAGGTAAAGTAGTGTCTCGCCAAATTCGCAGATTGCTCGCTCGTAGTTTCTTCCCCAGCGGCGTTCAAAGCTTGTGTAGCCGTCTGAGTGAATGACGTAGCGATTTACCGTCCATGCTGCATGTCGTACTATCCAAGGTAGTAGACAGTGCTTTGTGGACATCGTCATGCTGTAGTTGCTTTCAACCTGAGCTTTGACGACGCGGATTTGTCCGAGAAGTGTTCTATGTAGTCGCTCAACGCTTCCTTGACTGTTGCTGCTGTAGGATGGTGAATGTCGCACAGTCATTGAGCCGACTTTAGTTGCTGTTGCTTTTAGTAGTGCATTGAGTGTGTCTTCGTTGTCGCTTTGTAGTATGACGTGTGTTCTTCCGCATTCAAAGATGAATGCTTGTAGGTTGTTGATCATGTAGTCCATCATTGATGGTTTGTCCGGAACCAATACCGCCATGCACAGTTGTGTAGTAACATCAACTGCTGTTAAGATTGGTATGGTCTTCGGATCTTGTTGTGATTTGATGTAGGCAAAATCCACTTGGATGATGGGTTGTCGTGATTGTTGTTTCTTGTAGTTGTCCTGGCGTCCTTTGCCTTGAACGCAAATTGGACACCAATTTCTGTATGGTAGGTGTGTCAAGTTGTGTTCTGCTATTTGTTGTGGAGTGGGCTGCTGCGGTTGTCGTAGTCCTCTTGCTCTGTGTGCTTCATGATGCTCGTGTTGTTGTTCCTCATCGTGGTTCTCCTGGATGTACTCGTAGTCTTTCTTCACGGTGAACCTTGTTGTTCCTTTCCATTGAAATGGTAGTGCTGCGTTGCCCATGACTGTCCAGTCATCTTTGCGTTGCGAAACTTCTCCAAAGTGGTTGTGAGTGATTGTAGTTCTGTGAGGTTCAAGTGTGCTGATTGGTGGATATCCTGGTCCATCTGTTGGAGTGAATAGAGTTGTTCTAAGTGTTGTGTGGTGTCTTATCCAGTATTCACCTTGTCTTTCCCAGTAGTCTTGGTTGTCCTCCTGTGCTGTGAGTGGTCTGTGGATTGTCTCCTTTGGTTGTGTGGTGTCAAGATTTGTAGAAGGCGCTGCTTTAGGTCTCCATATCTTTTGTGGCGCTCGTAGTTGGATCTTTGATCTGGTTGGTGGTGTGTCCATTAGCCGTTGTGGTTGTGAGCTCTGCCTTGTTGGTGTGGTCTTTGATGTTGCTCTGCGTGTAGGTGTTATCTTTCTTCTGAATCTGGTTTCTCCAGTCCAGTTGTCACCTTCTAGTCTTCGTTGTAGTTCTTGCTTGGAAAGTTGTGTCGGGTTCTCTTGTAGTTGTTCTTGCTCTTGCCCTTGTCTGTTGATGATGGTTAGTCGCCAATCATCTAGTTCTCCTTCAGGTATTGGGCAACCGCTGTTGTGTGGTGTGAATAATGCTTTGCGTGGTCGTTTGCGCACTCTGACGGCGTAGTCACCATCAAGTTTCCAGTAGTCAGTGTTTCCACCAAGGATCTGTCGTAGTCCTTGGTCTGTGTGGGTGAGTGGTGCAATTTGTTCTTGTTGTTGTACTGTTTTCTCCGTAGGTTGAATCACAGCAATGGATTTTCCATTGTCTGTAGTCACTGGGTTCCTGTGAGGGATGTCGATCTTCTCTGCTCGTAGGTAGAAAAGTCCTGAGTGTCTTATAAGGTGTGCTTGTTGTTGTCCATGTGTGATGGTGCAGTGTCGTGGAGTGAAGTCAAGTCCATATCCTCTATCAAGTAGTCTTGATGCACTGAGGATTGGATACTTCACATCACAAACGTAGTAGGGTATCATGATCCTGAAGTTGTCCTGCTTGTAGGGAACGTACTTGATGCCGTAGACAGGAATCTTCTTGTTTGTAACCGTGTAGAGTTGTGGAACCGATTCTCCACAAGGTCGTAGCGGTAGGTCTGGTGCGTAGTCCTTCGGGCAAACATGTGTAGATGCTCCTGAGTCGATCAACAGGTGGTGGTATGACTTGAAGTTGGAGTACATGATGTAGTGTGTGATAGTGTCCTCAATCTTCTTGTTCCTTTGTTGTTGTCTTGCTGCTGCTATGTCAAAGTGTGGCTGTGTGTTGTCTTCTTGTAGGAACTGTTGAAAGCTCTTGCTGTGGTCGTTCCATGATGTTGTGTGTGTTGTTCTCTTGCCAAGTAGTGATTTGGATTTGTGCTTGTGTAGTCGTGAGTTTGCTTGTCTGATGTGTCCAATGGTAAGGTGTGACTCGTTGATGCCTCCAATGTAGTTTGCTGTGTCCTCATAGCTGTTGTCATTCCAATCCCAGCTGTTGTCATAGTCGTAGTCGTTCCAGTTCTCCTCCATGTAGTTCACCTCGTGTTGTCCTTCTTCTCCTTCGTAGTGCCAGTCCCAAGCGTCGTTCACATCCTGAGGTAGTTCTTCATTGTTGTCATGATCTGCTTGTGCTTGTTCTAGTGGATGTAGTTCTTCTCCTTCTCCTATGTGCCATACTGGCACTCTGCAGTCTTGTGCCCAGTGGCCAGGCTTGCCGCATCGATGGCATGTTGTGTAGTTGTTGTTTCCTTTTCCTTTTGATTTGCTGTAGTTTCCTTGGCCTTTGTAGCCTTTGCTTGATCCATATCATTTGGGTCCTGAGTAGCCTTTTCCTTTGCTCTTGTTGTATCCTCCTTTGTTGTAGTTTCCTTTGCTGCCTTTGTCGAATCCTTTGTAGTGGCATTTGCTTCTGCACTTGCCTTTTCCTTTGTTTCCTTTCTAGGATCCTTTGCCTCCATATTTGCTGTTGCCTTTGTAGTTTCTTCCTTTCCTCCAAATGTTGTCCACGTCCATGGGTGCTGTTCCACCATTGTAGTTTGTGCCAACTGCTGAGCTCGCTCTTGAGAATGCAGATATGGTCTTGTAGTAGTCCAGGATGACAACTCTGATCTTGTTGTAGTTCGTGATCTGTCCAGCACGTAGTTGGAGATGTTGTTGAAGTGCTCCTTTGGTCTTGTTGAGTAGTATTGCAATCTTCACTCCATCTGGTAGTGCTGTGCCGTTGTCTTTCTCGTAGCGGTTGATGTCATACTCCCACTGTAGGAATTGTTCTTCAAATTGTGCTTCATTGAACGTAGGTTCCAGTAGTTTGGTGAGGTAGCCAACACTGCGTGTTCCTACTGGTAGGCTGAACCTGTTGTGCAAAAGCCGTAGTGTTTCACATCCATTAGCATTGTAGCGGTTTTGTCTGACCACTGTAGCTGCTGCACCTTGGCAGATGTTGATGAGGATGTAGTGTAGATCTCGTGAGAGGTCTACTGCTTTTGCTGCCTGTGTAGGGTCGCGTATGTGGGCTCTGATGTCTGCATCTTCAATTTGTCTTGTAGCTGCTTGTGCTAGTTGTAGTACTATGTCGAAGTCTCGGTCGATGAGTCCGAGGTATGCTTGTAGTTTGAACAGCCACTCTTCGTACTGTGAGTAGTCACCAGTGAAGAACGGTGGTGGCAGTTTGTATTTGTGTGGCCTTTGGACGTCTTCCTGCTCCCGTGTTGTTCCCGTAGTTGTGGCTCCTATTGTCTCCTCTGCTGTGGGCCCGTTGTCTGCTCCTGTAGTTGGTTGTGCTGATGCTGCTGCTGGTTCTCCTGACATGCCGTAGTAGTTGGGCATGTGGTTGCCTGTGCAGTTGTAGTACTTACTGCTGTTACTGGAGCTCCCCTATGTTTACAAATGTAGTTAGCCAGCATGCACTCTTTTCCTGGTAGACCCAAGGCCTGCGGTCGGGTAGTGTACATCATGCGTGCACAAGGGACAAGTAGTGCAGCATGATATTTGACATGGGTGAGGGAGTGAGTGAGTGAGTGAGTGAGTGAGTGAGTGAGTGAGTGAGTGAGTGAGTGAGTGAGTGAGTGAGTGAGTGAGTGGGTGAGGGAGTGAGTGAGTGAGTGAGTGAGTGAGTGAGTGAGTGAGTGAGTGAGTGAGTGAGTGAGTGAGTGAGTGAGTGAGTGAGTGAGTGAGTGAGTGAGTGAGTGAGTGAGTGAGTGAGTGAGTGAGTGAGTGAGTGAGTGAGTGAGTGAGTGAGTGAGTGAGTGAGTGAGTGAGTGAGTGAGTGAGTGAGTGAGTGAGTGAGTGAGTGAGTGAGTGAGTGAGTGAGTGAGTGAGTGAGTGAGTGAGTGAGTGAGTGAGTGAGTGAGTGAGTGAGTGAGTGAGTGAGTGAGTGAGTGAGTGAGTGAGTGAGTGAGTGAGTGAGTGAGTGAGTGAGTGAGTGAGTGAGTGAGTGAGTGAGTGAGTGAGTGAGTGAGGGAGTGAGTGAGTAAGTGAGTGAGTGAGTGGCTGAGTGAGTGAGTGAGTGACTGAGCGAGTGAGTGAGTGGCTGAGTGAGATGAGAGAGATGAGAGAGATGAGACAAATGAGAGAGAGCAAGCGTCCTACATCCTGCGGCTAGGCAATGCAGCTTAGCGTCTTGGCCTTGTCTACCATACTCGGGCTGAAGTGGGGCAGCTGCATGAGCGGGCTGGAAGTGGACGTGGTGGCTTGCACGATCATCTGCGAGAGCTCCATGGCAGACAGTGCCGTAGTAAGCCAGCCGCAGGAAGAGATCACATCCACCAAACCCTGCAGCAACCGCACTGCATGCTCCAGGATGAACTTTTGATCTGAGGAGAGATCCGTGGTGATGGGTGTGCGTGTGAAGTGTGCGTTGAGCAAGAGCTGAGCCTTCGTATGGGGATCGTTCAGCTTGTCCTTGTCCACCTTCATGCCCAAAGACTGAGCCAAGCCATACAGGGTCGCCTCCTCTCCGGAGCGCACCGGCACGGAATCGAACTCTGCGGCGGCGCACAAGATGTCCAGCAGGCCTTTGCGCTTGGTGCTTTCGTTCACGCAACGAGAGAAGGTCTCGATGGTGGTGTGGCGGATGTAGTAATAGGCTGCGATAAGACCCAGATTCGCGGCAGCCAAATCCACATCGTCCTCGATGCTGCAGCAACCAAATCGCTCCAAGCCTTCCACAGTGTTCTCCACCACCTCACTCAAGTGATCGCTCAGGTGTTGATGAGTCACCCCCTGCAGACCATAGTAGTTGGGATTTTGGGAGAGCCGGCGATAGTAGAAAGTCCAAGTCAGCCAGTCCACCGCATCCTGCTTGTTGTCGATCGTCTTCATGACGATCTCGGCATTCATGTGATCGGCCATGCGCTGGTCCAAATGGCTCTCTACGGGAAGCGGCTCGTAGATGAACTTCTTGTAGTACTCTTTCTTGGAATTCTGCGTGAGCAGGACTACCATGCCCGACTGGTCGATGCCTGGTCGGCTGGCTCGGCCCATCATCTGCAACACGTCGTGGATGGGGTAGTCAACGTATCTATTCTCACGGCCATCGAACTTCTTGGTGTCCATAATCACCACCAAATGCGCCAGCATTGTCATTCCCCAGCAAAGCTGCTCTGTGGCCACCAGGACTTGGATGGCTCCTGCCTCAAAGAGCCGCTCAATCACAGCCCGCTCTGACTGGCTGAAGCCCTCATGCAGAAAGCCGACGCCGTACTCCAAGGTATGTTTCAGGGACTTCTCCCGAGCTGCGTTGAGGTGCGGCCGCATGGCATCATCGGACACATGCAGAAATCGCTTGGGCTTATCATCGGAAGCAGCGTGAAGCAGCAAGTCAATGGCAGTCATGCGCGCCTGCTTGCGATCTGGCACAAAGACGATGACGGGCTTCTCAGGCGAGAACTGCTTGATCGATTGGTACACTGGTCTGCTCATGGCCAACAGGCGAGTGGAGCGATGGTGGATGTCAAAACCCTGGATGACCAACTCCAAAGGCACAGTTCGCACATTGGGCGAGAAGTTGAAGAGCCCATTGCTGCCGGCGCCAATCCACTCGCCCACATCCTTGGCGTTGGCCAATGACGCTGCCAAGGCCACAATGCGGATAGGCTGCTGCACCTGCACGGAGATGTAGCGCATGCGGCTGACCACCGCCTCAAGCGTGGGGCCCACATCGCTGTCCAAGAGATGGAGCTCGTCCACCACGAAGAGGCGCACCTCCTGCACGCTCTTTCGAGTCTTCCACCTGCGGCTCATCAAATCCCACTTCTCCGGTGTGGTGATCACGATGTGGGAGTCCTCAAGGATCTTCACATCGCTGGTGGTCTCTCCAACCAGCTCTGACACCCGGTAGCCCATCGTCTTGCCAAACTTGAAGGACCACTCGTTGAACCTCTCCTTGGCCGTGGCCGCATGCGGTGCCACGTAGACGCAACGTTTTACCGGGTCGTCCGAAGTCAGCATCTTGAGCACGGCGAACTCGGCGCAAATGATCTTACCGGACGCGGCAGGGGCGCAAACCAGGACGTTGTCATTGCTCGTGTAAAGCATGCTGAAAGTTTGCGTCTGAATAGGATTGAAGACCTTCAACCCCTGCGCCGCATACAACTTCTCCGCATCTGGGCAGCGCAAAGCCGTGAGCGGCAACGGCTGCAGATCCAGCAATTCGGTGTGCGGCGGGTACTTGTCCGGCAGGATCAAATGCCGGAAGGACACTGGAAGCAAGGTCTGCGCATTGATCCAGCGATCTGAGACCACACGAATGAAGTACCTCAGTTGGGGCCAACCACATACTGAATCGCCACCAGCAACAACGGCTGCTCCTTCTGTTGGCTGACCCCGCTGACTCACTGACTCCACCAAAGAGCCCCTGCTCCCTTGTCCCACTCCCTTCAACGACAAAATGAAACAATGAACACAAACCGACAAGACTCACTGACAGTTCTGACATGTGCTCCGACAACCCCTTGCCCATAATTTCTTCATCTCAATTATTCTCGTTCTCATAGCCGTAGGCGGGGTGCTGCGGAGGCAAGGGCTCTGTGATAGGCACCGTGAAGTTCAGCGTGTGCTCCTCGTCGGCGCCCCTCTCCTGCAGCACGAACATCTCCTGCGGAAGCGCCGGAGGTGTTGCCAGGCCAAGCATCGCACTCATGCACGGGGCTCTCCACACGCCTGGTGCAGGATCTGCTCTCCATTCACATCCTGCCATGAGAATCTTGAGCAATGAGCAAGACGCATTGCAACACGCGCACCTCCACAAACACCCAGAAGGGCTCTGCCCTGCCGTGCACCTTTGGATCCCACTGGAAGTCTGGCGTAATGGTCAGCTCCACCATGAGGCAAGAGCCTTCAAGCAATAGAAAGTACGTGCATCAGCGATGCTCAGCTACTTGCAGCTCAGGAACGAGTGATGGGCTGAACATAGGCACTCAGGTCCAGCTTGGGGAACTGATGGACCAACTTATGAATCGTCTTGCCTCAATGTCACGGCACCTTTCACCTTTCTTTCCCATCTTTTTTGCTTTCCCATCTCTCCCCCACGATTCAGTGCCCTGCCCATCTTGGGGAAGCGGATCAACTCGCCGATCTCGGAACTGGACAGGTCGTAGTATCGCTCCCAGGCGAAGTCCTTGAGTGAGGCATTCAGTCTCATGCCCGCGCATCCCCTTTCGCAATCCTCAAATATCTACGTGAAAAGAAAACCAGAAAATCGATAGAAATCGGAAACGACAAGCCCGTTCAATCTTACGTCTGCCCCATGATCTGAATCACCTGACTCGCAGCTACCATTGCCCCCCGCCTTCTTTTCCACCTTTCTCAAAATGTCTTCTGCCAATCCCTGTCAGCTACTCATCGAAGAAGCTAAGCTTGCCCCCGCAACAGCAATTCTGCCTTGAAGTGGCGCAAGGGAGTCTGACTCGCCCACATCCTCTTGTCGATCATCTTGCACCTACGCATGCTCTTTGCAAGATATGGCAGAAAGCAGTCAAGCCTGCTACCCTGCTATGGATGCATTTTGAGCGCCCGGCCAGTTGAGGGCTCTCAACGCCAAAGCCGCCCAGCCTGCTACAGCACACGTCTTTTGGTTTCACAGGTCGATGCTAAACCCAGCCTCGCCGCAAGCAGATCTCGAAGATGGCACGCATAATTCGGCCGGCAGACTGCTGGACCTGCATGCGCTGTACTGTCGGAGGCGTCAGCCATCAGAATCAACGAGTTGTGCGAGTCGAAAGTGAGGCCGTGGCATACACCATGTCGGACATCAGCGCAAATCCCTCCAGCTTCAGCTTGGAAATGTAGGCCTCGTGACACCAATCACCCAATGGCAAAAGTGTTCCACGAGCAAATAAATATTGCTTCATGGGCTGGGCAAACAAAAAAAGAAGCAATGGCAGACTGGCCTGCAGCAAGACATTCACCTTGGACGAAGGCTCGTCCGTGCTGCCCTTCACTGGCACGGGCACTCGCTCCACCAACTTCTGCCTGGCACCAAAAACCGAAAAATGAGCAGTTAGCAGCTTAGCAGATTGGCAATTCGGCAATTTAGTAGTTTGGCTTGGCCAACCAGCAAAGCGGTAGCCGAGGCCACATCTCCACCTTCTCTTCCTCTCGTACAGGGATGTACTTGAACCTGGGCCGCTCCCATCTCGGCCCTGGACACTCTGAGAATCTAGGCCAGCAACTCATGCGAGAGCGAGAAGAGCCGCAGAAGCTCGATGTCAGACATCATGGGCCGCAGGTGGTCGTTGTAGGTGGCAATGGACGGGTGCTGAATGTAGTAGTGGCCTGCCAAGTTGTCAAGTTGTAGGCAATATGCAGCTCAACTTGGGCACAATGCACCGACAATCCCGGGCGGGGAGGCTGGCCACCCGGCCCAGCGCTGTCACCTGAGCCAGGCATGGCAAGTGCACTGGAGTCTAAGCACGGCGCAGATATGTTCCAGGTTTGACAAGACCCCTTCCTGGGCTGCCAATGAGCTACTGGCGTGGTTCCCTCGTTCATGGAATTTGGGTTGGCCCTTGGGGCTGCAAACAGTTTTAAAGCGCATTGAAGCTTCTCTAGCCAGCTACAGTCACAGCTGTTGGGGCGTTGCTTCTCTTGGGGGGGTACCATGCATATGTATATGTATATATATATATATATATTCTACCCCCCCCCCCCCAGGTACCCAGGTTTGGGCTTGGTTCAGATGTGCTTTGACCGCGGAAGCAGGCGAACAGCTCAGATTTGCAAACTGGAAGACCAGAGGAAGGAGGTTTGCCTCATTGAAGAAAGACGCCTTGGACGTGACCCATGCCCTTTTTCAATGGCTCTTCCACACAAAATTCCTATATCTTCCCACACAAACCATGCCTTGTTTCAAAGACTCTTCCACAGAAAATTCACACATCCTCTCACCCAACACATGTCTTTTTACATGTCTTCTTTCAATGAAACAAAGTCAGCATATGTGAAAGAGTTGCCAAGGAAAGGGAACCCTGTGTAGAATAAAGCCAGGCTATGACTGGGACAGTTTTTGTTACATAAATGGTGGCTTTGCATGATATGTACTGTCTTTTGCTGTACTTTTATGAATCACTGTAGCCCTGACTCTTCCGCAAAGACTCACATATCATCTCTCACACAAACCATGTTTTTTCAATAACTCTTCTCTACAGAAATTTCACATATCCTCTCACCCAGCACATGTCTTCTTTCACAAAGGTTCACATATCCTATCACCAAAACATGCCATTGTTCAAAGGCTTTTCCACAGAAAATTCACCTATCTTCCCACACAAACCCCTTCTTTCAAAGACCCTTCCACAGAATATTCACATATCATCTCACACAAAGCATGTCTTTTCAATAACGCTTCTCTACAGAAAATTCATTCATCCTCTCACCCAAAACATGTCTTTGTACATGCCTTCGGTCACAAAGGTTCACATATCCTCTCACCAAAACATGCCTTCTTTCAAAGGCTCTTCCACAGAAAATTCCTATATCTTCCCACACAAACCATGCCTTGTTTCAAAGACTCTTCCACAGAAAATTCACACATCCTCTCACCCAACACATGTCTTTTTACATGTCTTCTTTCAATGAAACAAAGTCAGCATGGAATAAAACCAGGCTATGGCTGGGACAGTTTTGTTACATACATGGTGGTTTTACATGATATGTACTGTCTTTTGCTGTACTTTTATGAATCACTGTAACCCTGACTCTTCCACAAAGACTCACATATCATCTCTCACACAAACCATGTCTTTTTTTAATAACTCTTCTCTACAGAAAACTCACAAATCCTCTCACCCAAAACATGTCTTCTTTCACAAAGGTTCACATATCCTCTCACCAAAACATGCCATTTTTCAAAGGCTCTTCCACAGAAAAACCACATATCTTCCCACACAAACCATGCCTTCTTTCAAAGACCCTTCCACAGAATATTCACATATAATCTCATACAAAGCATGTCTTTTCAATAACTCTTCTCTACAAACAATTCTTTCATCCTCTAACCCAAAACATGGCTTTTTGCATGCCTTCTTTCACAAGGAATCACATATCCTCTCACCAAACCCATGCCCTTTTTCAATGGCTCTTCCACACAAAATTCAATTCACATATCTTCCCACACAAACCATGCCTTCTTTCAAAGGCTCTTCCACAGATACTTCACATATCTTCCCACACAAACCATGCCTTGTTTCAAAGACTCTTCCACAGAAACTTCACACATCCTCTCACGCAACACATGTCTTTTTACATGTCTTCTTTCAATGAAACAAAGTCAGCATATGTGAAAGAGTTGCCAAGGAAAGTGAACCCTGTGTAGAATAAAACCAGGCTATGGCTGGGACAGTTTGTGTTACATAAATGGTGGCTTTACATGATATTTACTGTCTTTTGCTGTACTTCTATGAATCACTGTAAGGTTGACTCTTCCACAAAGACTCGCATATCATCTCACACAAAACATGTCTTTTTCAATAACTCTTATCAACAGAAAATTCACATATCCTCTCACCCAGAACATGCCTTCTTTCACAAAGGTTCACATATCCTCTCATCATGCTCCGCAAATGTTGCGCAACATTTGCAATTTGTTGCGCAACATTTACCAAAAAAACAAAAAACCAAAGAATCCCAGCCATGGTGGGGGCTAGGATTGGTTTTTTGGTTTTTTGTTTTTTTGGTTTCTTCGTCCACAAAATGGCCTTGCAAACAATGCATGAGTTCAATCAAAATACACTGTAAATATCAATGGTTTTGATACATAATGCAACAACACCTGGGTACTGGGGGGGGTACCATATACATACAATGCAAGGTGGCCATCTCTCTGCGCTTCTGTTGCTGATACAAATATGTTGTATGTGATTCTATTCGGTGAGCACTGTGCACGGCACCTGCACTTGCCCAGTGCGCTTGTCGTACTTGATGAGGTTGTTCTTGTCCAGGAGTGTCAAGGCGCTGTGGATCTTAGTTGCACCGCTGGCAAAATATGCAGCGCAAAATGAGCAGACAGACCAAAACAAAGCAAAAATATCACCTTCAAAGGCGTCTTGACCGTCCTTGACCATACGATGCTTGCAACATTTGTGCCAACCAGAGTTTAAGCTACCCGCCAAGTCGACGCGCCTCTGCTCCAAGAGCCGATCCTCCTCTGCCTCATCAGGCGAGATGCCGTAGAGCCTGCGAAGCCGACGCATTGTTTACAGAGATGCTGAACGCCATGTCGCAGTGTGAGTCCTCTCGTGTCGGTCATGTGCCAGCCTGGGGGCTCGCATCATGCGCACCTGGTGAAGACGGCAGCTCACGATGGACGTTGACCATCAAGATCACTCAGCGCCCGGCGTAGAGGTAAGTGTAGCCTAGCCAATTCACAGCGTCCTTCACAACAAATGCAAATATCCGCCGACCCCCTGCCTGCAAGGGGAAGGCGCTGGGGGAGTGTTCGTTTAGCGTTGGAGCGTGACTGTGGCAGCCTTCTCCCTTCCCTTTCGCCCTCGCTCGTTCAGCCCTGTACCTTACCAGCCTTCTTTCTTTCCCTTTTTTCTTGTTCTTCTTCGTTTCTTTTCTTTCCTTTTCCTTTCTGCTGCCGGCGCACTCCTTTGGTTGGCGCTCGCTGTGGACAAACGAGCGCGGCCTGGAAAAGCGCGGGAAGCGAAGCTTTTCTGGCTGGCCGCTCCCTCTAGACCCATAGCCTTGCTGCATATTGGACTCAGCCGCGACGTTAGGCACCCGGCCGCGGCGGAGCAGGCTGCCGGCGCACTCCTTTGGTTCGTGCTCGCTGCGGCGAAGCGAGTGCGGCCTCCAAGCGCGCTGGACGCGAAGCTGTTCTTGCTGGTCGCGCCCTGGGGACCGATAGCTTTCTACTTTCTATATAGGATTCAAAAGTGACGTTTGGCACCCGGCCGCGGCGTACCAGCCGGTCTTGGCAAGACGCACAGCAAACTGTGACAGACGCAGGCGCACATGGGCATGGACAGGCCGGGGATTGAACCCAGCCCCTCTCGCATGCTGAGCGGGTGTGATACCACTACACCAACTGCCCCTGAGCTGAGCAGGCCGAGAGTGCTCAAATACCTGCTGCGCATAGCTTTCAGCGCTGAAGGCCCAGAGGGAGCGGCCAGCCACAAAAGCTTCGCTTCCCGCGCTTGCGCCGGCAGCAGAGAGGAAAAGGAAAGAAACCAAAGGAGTGCGCCGGCAGCAGAAAGGAAGACTAGAGGCCGAACGGGCGGGCCCGCACTCCTTTGCCCACAGCGAGAACCAACCAAAGGAGTGCGCCGGCAGCAGAAAGGAAGCAAAAAGGCCGGACGAGCGGGCCGTGACAGAGCTTCAGCGCTGAAAACTGTGCCCTGCAGGTGCTTGAGCGCTTTTCCAGGCCGCGCTCGTTTGCCCACAGCGAAAAGAGGCCACTCAAACGCGACGTTAGGCACCCGGCCGCGGCGGAGCAGGCTGCCGGCGCACTCCTTTGGTTCGTGCTCGCTGCGGCGAAGCGAGTGCGGCCTCCAAGCGCGCTGGACGCGAAGCTGTTCTTGCTGGTCGCGCCCTGGGGACCGATAGCTTTCTACTTTCTATATAGGATTCAAAAGTGACGTTCGGCACCCGGCCGCGGCGTACCAGCCGGTCTTGGCAAGACGCACAGCAAACCCAAAGGGATGAAAGACCAGGGAGAGGCAAACTGTGACAGACGCAGGCGCACATGGGCATGGACAGGCCGGGGATTGAACCCAGCCCCTCTCGCATGCTGAGCGGGTGTGATACCACTACACCAACTGCCCCTGAGCTGAGCAGGCCGAGAGTGCTCAAATACCTGCTGCGCATAGCTTTCAGCGCTGAAGCGGTCCAGAGGGAGCGGCCAGCCACAAAAGCTTCGCTTCCCGCGCTTGCGCCGGCAGCAGAGAGGAAAAGGAAAGAAACCAAAGGAGTGCGCCGGCAGCAGAAAGGAAGACTAGAGGCCGAACGGGCGGGCCCGCACTCCTTTGCCCACAGCGAGAACCAACCAAAGGAGTGCGCCGGCAGCAGAAAGGAAGCAAAAAGGCCGGACGAGCGGGCCGTGACAGAGCTTCAGCGCTGAAAACTGTGCCCTGCAGGTGCTTGAGCGCTTTTCCAGGCCGCGCTCGTTTGCCCACAGCGAAAAGAGGCCACTCAAACGCGACGTTAGGCACCCGGCCGCGGCGGAGCAGGCTGCCGGCGCACTCCTTTGGTTCGTGCTCGCTGCGGCGAAGCGAGTGCGGCCTCCAAGCGCGCTGGACGCGAAGCTGTTCTTGCTGGTCGCGCCCTGGGGACCGATAGCTTTCTACCTTCTGTATAGGATTCTACAGTGACGTTCGGCACCCGGCCGCGGTGGAAACAGCCGCCCTTGGCAAGACGCACAGCAAACCCAAAGGAAAGAAGAGCAGGGATCGGCAGACTGTCCCAGACGCAGGCGCGCATGGGCATGGACAGGCCGGGGATTGAGCCCGCCCTCTCACATGCTGGGTGTGATGCCGCTACACCAACTACCCCTGAGCTGAGAAGGCCGAGAGTGCTCAAACCCCTGCTGGCCGCAGATTTCAGCGCTGAAGCTCTGTCACGGCCAGCCCGTTCGGCCTGTCTTCGCACTCCTTTGGTTGGTGCTCGCTGTGGGGGGCAAACGAGTGCGGCCTAAAACAGCGCTCGAACACCTGCAGGGCACAGTTTTCAGCGCTGAAGCTCTCTCGCGGCCCGCCCGTACGGCCTTTTTTCTTCCTTTTTCTCCTTTTCTGCGCACTCCTTTGGTTGCTTTCCTTTTCCTTTCTGCTGCCGGCGCACTCCTTTCGTTGGCGCTCGCTGTGGACAAACGAGTGCGGCCTGGAAAAGCGCGGGAAGCGAAGCTTTTGTGGCTGGCCGCTCCCTCTGCACCGATAGCTTTGCTGCATGTTGGACTCAAATGCGACGTTAGGCACTCGGCCGCGGCGGAGCAGGCTGCCGGCGCACTCCTTTGGTTCGTGCTCGCTGCAGCGAAGCGAGTGCGGCCTCCAAGCGCGCTGGACGCGAAGCTGTTCTTGCTGGTTGCGCCCTGGGGACCGATTGCTGTCTACTTTCCATATAGCGCTCCTTTGGTTGGTGCTCGCTGTGTGGGCAAACGAGCGCGGCCTGGAAAAGCGCTGAAAACAAGCAAACAATCAAGCGAGCGAGCAAGCCAGCAAGCCAGCAAGCCTGAACCAACCAAAAGCCGCTGCCAGAACAAAAAAAAACCTCGGCTGGCCCCCAGCGGAGGGGTCGGCGGCACTGGGCGGCAGCCCTTAAATTATATGGCAGCAACCCGAAGCCCCGTCCTGTCTCGTCTGGATGGTTCCTAGAACCAACTCTGCATTGACCATGTCCGGCAGGATGCTGAGAACCTTCTCAACACTCGCTGCGATACTACCCTTGGACATGCCACTTTATACACGGCAAATAGCACTGGCAAGTCTTGCCTGTGACTCAATCGGCAACTGCTGGTTCATCAGAGACAGGTAGTACCTCGGTTCCATCCAAGCAACTCTGCTAGCACGTCCAGTCGACACTCTGCAGCCCAAGGAACTGCAACTCGCTGTGCTGGGTGATCACAATCCCGTGCCCTGTCTTGTCGTACTGCGGCCGCCCGGCGCGGCCAAGCATCTGCATCCTAGGGCCCCGGAGAGCGTCAGGCTGGGCCCTTGCCTCACCCTAGAAACCTAGAGGGCCTCTGTGTGGGTCATTTTCAAAATTTGGAAGCTCGGGCACAGGGACTGCCAAGCCACATGTCCATGGATGAGAGCTCATCCCAAGCACCCTTCTGCGGATTGTAGACCTGCCACCCACATAGCCCTTGCGCAGCTCAAGGCACTTCTGCAAGGCCTGGGTGCCCTTGATGATGACAGTGTGCGCCGGCAGATTCACACCTATTAGCGAATATCAGTCCCTTCTCAGGTTCTCATGAAAACTAAGCTGCAGGCCCCAAGCCAAAGTGGCGGTGGACACCAACACTTGGATGTGGCGATCCGCATACAAGTCCTCAGCGAACGACCTTTGACCCAAGGACCCATTGAGACTCGCGGGCCTCCACCAACTTCCGGTCTGCTCGGGGCAGGCCGGCGTGGTGCACAGCGAAGCCATAAGGCAGTAGGTCCTGCACCTGCACCGAGTGCACCGAGTGCAGCGAGTGCACCAAAAGCCCGCGCCCAGCAGCCACCGTGCCTCCGGCGTCTTCATCTGCTGTGCCTCGCGTCGCAGGCTCCCGTGCAGGCCAAACTCTGAGAACCATCACATAGAATCAACATGAAGCAGCTACAACCAGCAAAGTGCCTCAGTCTGCAGAATTTCTCGTGAGGCGGAATCCTCCTGCAAAAACTTGGCCAGCGTGTCCTCGGTCAAAGCACGATGACAGCCCAACGCTACAGCCTCGATTAGCCTAAAACTAGTGCCCAGGTGCATTCTGCATCGCCAGATCTCGGAGGGTCTGCGCCTTCGCTGCGTCACGTCGCGTTGCTAGCGGGAATTCACGTGAGGCCGAGGCAGTCTTGACTGTTTCCTTTCGTGAATGCACGAAGATCAACACCTGAACTCAACGGTGCCAGGGGATGCTCTATGCAAGCCGCAAAGCTGCCTGATTCTTGCCAGCGTTTTCCATAAGCTTCTCATAGCAAACCTCGTTCATGGTGTTGAACCGCTTGATGGCCTTCTTGTCCGTTACACCTTGAATGCTCTTCCATGTTCTTTGGCGTGGATAGGTGGCAAGCTTTCCAAGGTGCGTACCAATGTAGGTCTGCTCAAGAGGCACAGGGCGATAGTGGTTGCCAAAGTAGTGCAGCCCTTTCTCTGGATTTACCTGTCAAGCTTGGAGACGGAGCAAGCAGTGCAAGCAGTGCAAGCAGTGCAAGCAGTGCAACCGGTGATAGACCTAGCAGGTCTGAGCCCTGCACACGCAAGAAAATGGCCACATCCTCGTAGTTCGGCAATGTTGCTGACAGCCCGACCAGCCGAATGTGCTCCTCGGTCTCTCGGTCTCTCCGGGCTGTATTGATGTTCAGCTGAGAGTTACTTGTGAGAGTTGCTTGTGAGAAACTTGTGAGACGGAGTTGAGAGGACGGAGTTGGGATTGGCCCCCTGGACGGCCCGGACGGCCCGGACGGCCCGGACGGCCCGGACTGCCGCTCCTGCGTGGTCTCGATCTGGCGGATGGTCCTGGCCACGATGGACTCCAAGACTGGCCCGCGGCTGTCGTGCAGAAGGTGGATCCTAAGCCGAAGGATTCGGAGATCCGAAGAAAGACTCACACGAAGGTCAAGTCAGATATCCGGAAGACTCAGAAACAAGCTCATCAATGATCACCAGGCGCACCAGCTGGGTGTACGCGCCTCGGCCGGTGCTGTAAGCCTGAACCGAGTGCTAATCGAGCTCCCCACGCTGGTCTCCTGCTTTTCTGGTGATGATGTCCCACCTCAGAGGTGAATCTCGGTTGCAACCTGTCAGTGTCGCATGTTGAAATCGGTTGCCTTCTTGGGGCACGGCTTCTCTGGGGTGGTCACGATGATCTGAGTCTCATCGATCTGCGCCTTCGTGAGATTCACATCTCCGCTTAGCTCGCGGATGGTGACCTGACGGGGTGCCAACAAAGACAAGTACGCCTACGACCGGAAGATATCGAGTGCCGAGAGCTGAGATGCGCGCCCCGTATGCCTTCTCCAGGCGCTGGGTAAAGCTCTGCACAACTTCCTGCACCAGCGCCTGTAAACGGCGCTTCGTCCAATGCATGCCCATCTTCCAAACCAACGCTTCCATGCCTTCATGGGGGCAACATATACTATCTTGAAACCAGCCAAGTCGAAGGAGCCATCCTCAGCACGCACACGAAAGTGCATTCATGGATTCCCACTCAATCCCTCATGCTCGCCTTCAAGCGGAACTGGCTCATGACATTGAGGATCGTCAGCATGGCCACGTTGGTCTTCCCGCTGCCAGTCGGCGCGCATACCTTGGCCATAACACTCCCAATGCACTGAGCATCGCTTGTGCAGTAACATGAGACTTGGGGCTTCGTCAGCACTAATTCTATCGTGTGATGGCCATCCGCCGCCAGTCGAAACTTCGCAGGTCAGGATGATCCACACAATTCCTCAGCGCCTGGCCAGCATATTCTCGTTGTGCTCTTCGAAGGCAGTCTTGAAGACCTCTCCGGCTGCGCTATGTTGCACTTGCAAGTGCAAAGTGATCAGAGACACGCGCACCTTGCTCTGCACTGTGTTGAGCTTGGTTGCTCCCGGGAAGGCTTCTTGGCACCAGGTCGGCAGCTTCGACCTGTGGAAAGGGATGGGCAACAAGGCAAGTCACAATGCAAATACGAGTCCATAGCATGCCAGCTGAGGCACAGAGGAATCAAGTCTTCCGGGCTCACATCTGGGGGCTTGAAAGGCTTGACGTGGACCTCCTCGTAGCCCTGCGAATCTGACCCACAACCCCAGCGACGCTGCTCCGCTGCGCCTTCTTCTGCACTCGGAAAGAGCCAGTGGGCAGCTGGCACTTGTTATTGGCCATGTAGTGGCTGCCTCAGGTCGAGAGCAACCAAGCTGGAGAAACTGAGACAAACTGAGAGAACCGCCACGGGAGAAGGCCAAGGTGTCCAGATCCAGCATGTGAGAGGGCTTCTTCTGCCTGGCAGCGCATGTGCTCGGCGTAAGAAAAAGAAGAAGCGCGAGGGACCGTCCCTCGGGGCGGACTGAGCTGGGTGCTGCTCCTCTGCCACCTTCGACCTTCGAGATCCCAGGCCCTGGCCTGGCACGGTACCACGGCACGGTGCGCGCGGTGGCACTCAGTGGCACTCGGTGGCACTCAGTACCAGAGCCCTTTTTGCCGCTTCGGATGCGAACGCCTTCGTCGTCCATGCCACGCTCCTTTTCCCTTGCACCTGGCAGGCGTGAGAAACTGTGCCCAAACGAGTCGACCTGGCTTGATGGGTCTGCCAGAGTGCCTGTCGGTATGGCTTTCGGACACGTTTGGGAGGGCTTGGATCGGGTTGTGCGGCTGCTCTGCTGTGTTTCAGCGTCGGCTTTTTCTGACGCCGCGTGGTTTGGATCAACTCCCTTCAAGCATGTTGCACGGAAGATTTGGTATGGAGAGGCTTGGGAGGTCAAGACTCGTGATGGCCCAGCTAGGTGTACTTGGGTTTTGCCTTCCTGTCTAGTCGAAATTTACAAACATACTTGCGCTTGCCAAATATAGGTAGTTGCCAACAAACTGATTGCCAACAAACTTGCTCAGTCGCCATCAATTGCTATTTGCTGGCTCGCACACCCCAGTGCATTGCTGGCTCTGCGTATGCGTGTCTCTGCGCGAATGTGCCTGAATGTGCATGTAATTTCTGTCCGGCCTCTCAACTGCAATTGTCGGACTTCCTTGCGCAAATCCCTGGCGTTGCCAGAAAGCTCGCAACGCCAGGGCAACAGGGAAGGCAGTGGCGCCTGTTGATGTCGCGCTCGCGATCTCGCTTCTTGGAGGCTTTGTCCAGCTCCTATCGACCGTATCGACATAGACACTCACTCGTCCCTCTTGAAAGAACCCGCCTCCAAAACGGCTTGAGCTTCCGGGGTGTTCCGCATGTCTTCCAGCACTTCGGTTCGGGCTTCTTCCGTCTGCGCCTGACCAAGCCGGGTGCAGTACCTGGCAGCGGGAGTCAGCTTGGCCCGCCATGCTGGGGCGGGAAAGTGCCAAAAGGCGGCAAGTACATTGGTGCGCGGGTGTGCGCATACGAAGGTCGCAATCAGATAGGAGCACAAAATCTTCAGTCTGTTCTTCAAGAGCAACTTTGTGAACTCGAAGTTTTCGTACTGCAAGACTTGCACAAGCCTGGTTCGCCGGCACATCAGTCCGTATTCACAGCTGGAAACCCACCTGTTCTCGCACTGCTGCAAGTCTTTGATAGGAAGAATCTGCAAGATCTCCTTTTCAGTGGCGATGCACTTGTTCGGGTCCTGAATCGCAATGGAGGCCTTCGTTGAACGCTCTAAACCAACCCTGAACCAACCCTAAACCAACCACATACACGTTAAACGAAAACTAACCGCACGCCCCTGCACCCCACAACCCCACCACAGGGGAATATGTATAGTACGACGCCACGAACTCTTGAATTCCCCAAGGCACCTGTCCCTTTGGCAGTGGTTCGAAAACTTTAAGGCAATTGCAAGAAATAGAATGATTAGAGCAAACATGACTTTGGAATTCCCCCAAGCGTCCCTTTGGGAATAACGCGAGGAATTGGTTTGAAGCGTTAGGACCATTAAAAAGACCATCCTGTTTGCTAATCACCCTACTTGTCATCAAGCCTTCTAACTGTAATCGCTATTCGCACAGGGACACGTGCTCTTGCGGGATTGAAGATTGTTTTGCAAGTTGTTCAACTTATCAAAACGTTCCAACTAATTCTTCTCATTGCTTCACAAAGGGACTGCTGACGTTTGGGGAACTGCTCTAATCACACTATTTCTGGCAGTTTCGCTAAGCACTCTAACCACTCTCAAAGGGACGTGCCTTCTGGAGATTTCAAGAGACGGATGCCTTGGGGGGAATGAATCTTGTTTTTTCAAATTATTCTGCTGGTCATAACTCTTGTACTTAAACCCTCTCATTACTCCCAAAGGGACAGGTGAGTCTTGAGGAAGTTCAAATGCATGTGTGTTCTAAACACTATTTTTCTTTTACTCCAACTTTGCTCACCACTCCCAAAAGGACGGGTGTCTTCTGGGGAATTTACGTATTATCAATCTTTCTAAAAATGGGGAAGGAATGATAGTTCTTGTAAATAGTTCCACTGTCAGAGCTCTTCAACTTAAGTCGCCTCACTGTCTCCAAGGGCGGGTGACTTTCGGGGGCTTCCAGAGTCACGTTTATTCTAATTGTTCTACGTCTATGATTGTTGTTCTTCACAAAGCGACAGGTGCCAGTTGCTGCTCTAGGTGCAACAATTATTGCGCAATGGGTGTTGGAGCCCATTGGCGAACTCTAGATTCATCTGTTTTCTAACCATCCTTCGAAAAAAAAAACGTTTGGAAGTATGAATCTCAATTAACAATGCTCTGCAAGATTGAAACCCTATTCAATTCATGTTCAAGTCTAAACAGTATATTGGGCGCTGTTCACTTTTAATTTCATTTGATGTCTAACTGCAGAATGTCGCAAATCATGAAAAAGACATCCTTTTCAACATCTGTTTTCAGAATTGCAATCATAAACACCTGTAACTAAAGAACTCACACACTACGTAGTTGCTCTTTAAAACTAGACATTCTGTTCGAACTATGATTGAACCTAGGCCAACAATCAACCCGATTGAACATCCAGGTTCAAGCAAAAAACAATCTGCACACCTAATTCGACAGGGACATCCTGTTTACATTATGTTTAAGGTGTGTTCCTTACAAAATGTCATTGCAATTCTAGTTAAAAAATTGAAAAAACACAATCTACAGAAAGAGCCCCTTTTAACATCATTTTCAAGTCTATTTTGAGACGCTTCTTCTGATTGTCCATCCTTATCGAACAACTTGAGTTCCAAGCAAAAAAACTCTACAGCGGCAAAACCAGCATGTTTCCAATGAAAAACCGTTGAACAAACAATCATGAGAAATATGTCCGGTTCCTATAAACGTGCGTCAATACCCCAAACCCTACACCCTAAACCGCGAACAGCAGCTGTTGGGGGAACCACCCCGCAGCCTATCTGGGCTGAGACCCCAAAGCTTGAAGCTGTTGGGGAACCTTACACCTGACTGTCACCGCTCCTGCAACCTTACACTTGGCCTGCGCCACCCCAAGCCTCCAAAACCTTCCTTGAACCTTGCACCTGGACCCCTTGAACCTGACACCTGACCTGGTGGAGCTGCCGGGACGTTCAACAGATGTGCCTGTCCCAGTGAATCATGTCCCCGCATTCCTGGCCGCTCCCCCCAAAAAAATCTTGACCGACTTCACCATCGTCAGTCAATCTCCCGTCAAGAACATCGCATCAACGACCGCCTCAGAAGGGGTGAACAATGCATTCGGTCGCTGGCTCATCCATATCCAGGACCTAATCACCGAAGTTGTCCCCGCACACAGCCACCGCACCTAAGCTAGTCCTCTCACGCATGGCCTTCCACTCCGGCCAGAACTTACTGTCGGCCGTCTTTCCTACCCAATCCGGCACTACTGAAGCAGAGGATGAAATTGACCAATCCCTACCTCGCATGCGTACTGAAGACCAAACCCTGATTCTTCATTTCAGCCACTATCGCGGCAGTCCTGATTTCCCGGTAAAGCCTCACCTTACCGTAGTCCCTTTTTCAAGAGGCGACCTCTCCAGCTTGTCCTCACTGATCGCAGCCACTCTCCCTATCATTTCACAAAACTGCCCGTACGCGGGTCATGTTCAAAAAATCGACTGGTCCACACTATCCATGCTAGGGTCAATCGTGGAATTGCTAGGACTATCGTCCTGGAACCCCTTTACAGTCCACGCGCAGTACCCCGCGAGCAGACACTCAGCCACTGCCTTGGGCTTCTCGACGTTCAGCGCCTTCTGCAGTTCCCACTCAGGTCGCGGAGGATCCGCGCTGTGGCATCCGCAGCCCATCCCGCCAGCGCCCGCCATGCGTCGGCTGGTTCAGGCCACAGGACGAGCCCGGAATCCAGCAGAATCTTGAGAGAGACCCTAAGAGGCTCAGCCTATTGGCCAGAGACCCCTTACGCGCAAAAAGCGGTGAAACGGAAACCGCACATAAATAAGGAAAATGACCAGTCCACATCAACCATCGGTTGCATATCTGCCCTGCCACCATCGCCTGAGCGTAGCATGTGTGTGTGTGCGTGTGACTGCGGTTACCCGCGTGTGAGCCATTTGATCAAGCTTATGGCTGCGCGGCGACGAAGTTGTTCAACCACCTTTGAACTGCAAAGACTCGGTCATGCTGAGACAGGGTAACCCCTCCTCGCATTCTACAAGGAGCCCGCAAGGAAACAAACTCCCAATGGAAAAACACACAAAAACCATGCGCCTTGACACCACGCTGACACGCACAGACAGCTTCGAGCGAAGCCATGCATGTCTGCCAATCCATTGACCTCTTCCTCGTTCAACATCTAACATTCAGGTCGGAAAAGAAGAACAGGAATATATCCACACATTCGGGCATCAAGCGCAAGGTTGAACCTTTGCCTAACGGCATGTAAGACCATTGAGCGCGAGAGCGACATAGCAGTGCTTTACGCCTTCAACTTTGCCTACGCGGACAATGCGATTACTGTATCCAGGAGCAGTTTGAAGCGCAATCACCCTACTATAACCACTACATGAAAAGACCTCGGCTATCGAGTGGTCCGCAACAATGGTCTTATCACATCCTCCTCCGGGTTGGGTTGGATGGAGGTTGCGGTTCCATGCGACCTTGTCGACACATGCCTTAGGATAAATGCCCGCCCCCTGATAGTGGGACGGGCCTGCGACGAGCCGAAAGATACCTTCATTGAACTGCTCGTTCGGCCAGCAGATATCGATGCGCTGAGTCCGCGACACATAGCGCATGTTGGGGTTGCTCCCAGTTTGAACGATTCAGCAAGCCGATTCTTTCTCCTCCAACACGTTAATGGTAAGAGGTTGGGTCTCTTCCCCTTTGCCAATGGCGTGCTTCCAAAGTACGGCTAACCATGGTCAAGATCTCCGCCTCAGGAGTTGACTTGGAGTTCTTTCTTACCCGGTGATGGGCAGGCAAGTCCTGGGACCAATCAAGCGCATCACAGTACGCGGCCATTTCAATGAACTCCGGGCTATCGCCCGGTTCACATAAGAAACCAAACGGTGAAGCTTGCGATCGCAGAGATGGTTCCATTTCGTAACCCTGCAGGCACGGGACGAATGAGGTCACACCTGCCCATCCTAGCCCCATACAAGATCTTCATCAGCACTGCAGCTGCAATCCCGGCTGCGCATTGATGGTTTCCACGTCCATCGTCTGGTTGAAGATCCTGTCAAACTCTGGGATGACTGGCTTCTCGTCAAACTCCGGCTTGCTTTCGTCCAAGAAAGGTGTATCCACCTTCTGCAGCTTCTTGGGATACTTCCCTTGACACAGTTCAATGTTTTAATGCCTCTCATCGTGTATGATGCTTTTGTAGAAGTTGAGATCTTTTAAAACCTTGTGTGTCGCTGACTTGCTTGAAGTGATGTTGCTAATGGCTTGTCTTTGCTGTATAGTATTATTTGTTGTGGGTGATTAGTTTTTCAATGGTTTGCTATTCTTCCCTGGTTTTCTTTGACCTTCATTATTGGATAATCCGCCGACAACAGCCGGCGTGTTGGACATAAGAAATGCTCCTTGCCTCTTTACCTGTTACCCCCCCTTACCCCTCCCCAGGGGCACCATTCCAGACTATTGCGGGGGGGGGTCCACGTACCACGTGGTGGGTGATTCGAAGACGCTTCACTAAATCTGTTCATTGCGCGGGCTTGCGCAACACAGTTTGTCAAAAACATTGGGGTGTTCGATTCCCCCCGGGTGCGCCTTCGCATCCTTAGCAGCTCCAGCGGCACATCGCCAGCATCACCTGCATCATCCGCATCAGCGCCTGCCAAGGATGCGGATGATGCAAGTGATGCTGGGGATGTTGCCCATGCTGGTGAAGGAAATGAAGGGGGGAAAGGGGGGAAAGGATCTCAACAGCGAAAGGGGGGGAAAGATCTCAGGGAGGAAAGGGAGAAGATCTGGGGAAAAAATGCCTTAAGGAGGAAAGGGGGGAAAAGATCTTTGGGAGGAAAAGGGAAATCTTTCTCGGGGGGAACAGGCCCTAGGGGGCAATGGGGGGACAGGATCTCAAACGGGAAAGTGGGAAAAAGACTTTGGGAAGAGAAGGATGGAGATCTTAGGGGGGAAACGAGGGAAAGGATCTTAAGCGGGAAAGGGTGGAAAAGATCTTAGGGAGGAAAAGGGAGAAGAACTCAGGG